GCTGAGCCGGCTGGTGCCGTTAGGCTCGTGGAGCGATTTTGCAGTGAACCCGTGCCTGGCGGTGGAGGATGTGGGGCAGCCGGCGAAGTCGAGAGGTGGGGACGACGAGGGTAGAGTTGGGAAAGTGGCGAGGAACCCGAGGAGGGTGTACTCTGACTTGGGCATTAGGAGCAATTTGATGGACTTGATGTCGGCCGGCCCGAACGGGGGCCCGGAATTTTCGATGGTGCCGGCCGGAGGCGTTTAATTTGGGGAAGGGTTGACCCGGTTTTCTTTGGTTGACTGATTTTTGACCGATGGTTTTCATTTTTTTTTTTTTTTTATCAGATCAAATTGTTTAGATTATGGATTGCCGCCATTCCAGATTGAGCGTTTTCACTTATTATGCATTTCTCAATGAAGAAGATAGTATGGTGCTGTTACGTAACTGTTTGATCAATTATCTCTGAACGAAATAGTTCCATAACGAGACATTAGTATTTCTCAATAATGTGTGAATCAAAAAAGTATTCGAATGATTCAAGTGTATATTTGAGTTGTTTGTGGCGTTCAACTTTTTTTTTTTTTTGATAATAGTTAAGATAGTACTGAGTTGGAAAGATTAAAATTTTGATGGCAGGGAAAGTTTGCCAGATGATTGAAAATTTGGGCTTTTTTTAAATGGCTTTGATCACTGAGTCAAATGAAGTAGTTGTACCATTATGGCGCATATGATTTGCTTCATACTGGTTTTCTAAAATGATTTTTATTCGGGGTTCCATTTATTACACAATAGGGCACGACCTAACGTATGGGAAATATTACAGTCTCGTTACGAAACCATTATGTTGGGATTTGTAACCGTTAGATCATCATATAACCGTCACGGATAGTTGATCTAACTGTTACAAACCCTGACGGAATGGTTCCGTCACATATATACCAAGTGACAAGTTGGCAAAGAAACAAATAGTAAAGGGGGAAGAAAATTAGAAAATAAATAAACATGTTTTAAGTTTAGACTCCAGTGCAACAGACAACAGCAGTCTCGCTCACCTGCCCACGGTGGGCAGTGCCCACTAGTTTGTTTTATATAAAAAACGTATTCTGAGAATACGTTTTTCAATTAAATTTAATTGAAAAACGTATTCTCAGAATACGTTTTTCATATAAAACAAACTAGTGGGCACTGCTCACCATGGGCAGGGAATATATTTACAGACAACAGTGTGTCTGTTACTAAAAAGCAGCATGCAAGGAAATAGGATTCTTTTTAAGGTCTTAAGTGTGTGTTTTACTTTTGCATGTGCTTTTCCCTTTTTTGGGAGAGATGGGCTCATTTTTCTTGCAGTGCTAATGGCTTTTGTAAAGCAAACATGATCAAATGTCCTCGTTAATTTGACACCAAATGTGAAAATCTTATTATAGATTGTGTCTACGGGCCACATGTGTTTGAAAAAAAATCATTTTTGTATAAAAGAAATGAAATATATAAAAATATCTATATTTTTATTGTGGAATCATAAATATGAATGTACGATAGATGAATAATAAATAGCGAATAAACTGATAACCACTTAAAATAACAAACGTTTTTCACCCTCAAATGTTCAGAAATGATAGCCATTTACAAACGTTTCTCATCTATTGATGTTTAAGTATACACTATAAGACATGTGTTTTTTTTACCAACGGAACAATCCGTTGGTAATTAAGTTTCCCAACAAAATTCCAATCAATCATATGACTTGTTGCTAATTATTATCAATAGAAGATATGGGCAAAATTGCAACAGTTTACCAACTAATTTGCAATGGAAATTCTCTATAACATTATAAAGATATTCTCAACAAATAATGTAGTTGCTAAATAATTCTGTTGGCAAATTAGTAACAGAAAGCCAACAAACTAGTCACAGGATTGAACCGATCGATCCTCGAACGTCCTCCTTCCTCGAGCTCCGGTGACCTACAATGCGTTGGGAGGGAGTCCTGGCGTAAACTCTCCGACACGCAAGTCAGAACTGGTTCAAGAGAAAAAAACTGATGTATTATAAACTTAATGCGTATAAATATGATAATAATAACATAAAACCCGATTACCCTTATATAGGGTGAATGCCTTGATGTTCATGAGAGTCCTTGCTGAGAAAGAAATCAAACCGGATTTTTTTTCCTAGCTTATCACATCTCAGTCCTAGCAAGTCCCTAGGTTGTAACCACGACCCCCTTGTACCACACAATTCTAAGGTCCCCAGGTTGTAACTAGGGCTGGTATCGGTTCGGTAACCGAACCGATAACATAAAACCGAAACCGAACCGATATGTTTCGGTTTCACTAATATTCAAACCGAAACCGAACCGATAAGAGGTCGGTAACCAATTTTTCGGTTTCCGATAAGGCAGTTCAGTTTCGGTTTTTACCGATAAAAATCGAAAAAAACTGAAAACTGTACATTGACAGATGGAAAAAACAAAACAAAACAAAACCATCAGGCATTCTTGCATTTGCCTACAGAAAAACAGGCACACCATATCCAAATAACAAGCTTACCCACATCCAACTAACTTGCAGCCTCTGCTTATAAGCCTTACACATTTTAATCAAGATTAGTAAGGGACCCGAATGAAAATACAAAATTAACAATCTTCACAGAAAGGAAAGGACATGATAAGCTCCACGGTAATATCATCCGTCCTTTTTTATTAGACTAATAATTATAATATAAGACCAAATTATTTAATTTAACTAATATTTATATACGGATTCAAAACTTAAAAGATGTG